TGTGGACCGATTCTGTTTTCACAGATGTGTTTTCTCTTTCCAGTTTTTGTTGGTCAAAGAAGCCCAGGAGGGCAGAGCAGAGAGATAAGCACTGAGAACAGAGCTGTCTGTGCTCCGGTGGGCCGCAGCTTAAGATCCTCCAGCCCTCCCAGGATCAGCTGTAGGATTAGTCGTCTTCAGGCTTTCTTCGTAGCAGAATCACTGAAGAATACACTACAATGGGCTGTCTAACCTACCTTCGCTTCTCGTCTCTCTCTAGTGAATACTGGGATTAATCTGCTTATTGTTTAAATAAATGTAATCCTTGAAGAATTGTATCAAAGCTGTAGTAAACAGGCAAGAGAAGGCAGGCTTCAAACCATTGTTTCTAATTGCAGTTAAAAGAGTGGGCCAGCCTTGATCCCAGATATGACAAGCAATCCTGAAGAGCAGTCCCCTGACATGTGGACTAATAAGTAGCAAGGGTCATGAACACAAATGGCCATGAAAGTAAAACTTTCATTTTCTCCAAAAAAATATAAATTTGGCTATTATTAGTATACTGTGTTCTTCTCATCATGACTTCAACAATTATTTTTTGAATATAAATATTCTTTCTCAAATAGTAATTTTATGGTCGAGAATAACCTGACCAATGCCACCTTAACCAAGTGATCTGAGCTAGGATCACTAGGATCAGACATGTGGGTATCCATACCTCCCGAACAAGGCAGGGAAATAGCACACCATCACTCTTTGCTAAAAAATGCTCACTGCCAAACTAATCATGAGAAAGATTGAAGAGGGTCTGTAGGATAGCTACTATTATGTATCACTACTAACGTCCTGGTTTAGCTAATTGTACTACAGATACATAAGATGTAAACATTTGGGAAAGTTGAGTGAAGGGTATACAAAAGCTCTGTGTACTATTTTTGCAACTTTTATAGTCTAATATTATTTCACAATAAAAAGTTAGAAAAATAAATTATCTTTTTTTCATAACCCTACCCCCTAAGTCTACTTTAAACAATTTTAAAGGATTTAAATTGATTACATGCTATCTTTCTATTATTTTATCTAAGTTAACTAATTCAATATTGATATTTGCTTTTAAATGTTGAATGATGCTTAAATGAGTGAATTATAGGAGGAATAATATTCAGAATGGGAAAATATAGATTGTCAATGACTATTCTTTACTTGCTTTCTGTCTGCTAATGGGCATGGAGGCATGGTGATTGTTGTTTAAATATCCTAACACTTTCCTTCTTTTATAATGGGACCTCCTCCTCACACTTCCTTTGGGGAATTGCTCTTCCCTTACTGAAAACACTGAAATAATGATGACTGCAAGTCATAGGAAAGCTAGTATCTTCCTCCTATTTTCAAACTCCTGGTTGACCACATAGCCTACATCTGGCCAACAATAATACTAAAACCTTCTGGCCACAGGGATTGGTCCAGGGGGAACCTATTGACCAAGTCTTATACCTAGAGTTCTTCTCTGGGATCTTCATATTGAGACCGGAAAGGAAGCCCTTTTTCTCTCTTTGCATTATAAACGGGAAAGCTGTGATCCCAGAAATGCCAATAGTTATGTACTTCATCCTGTGGAAGAGTCTGAGCAATGAGAGCAGCAAAGATGTAGAACCTGAGAAGTGAGAGAGAGTGAGAGAGAGAGAGAGAGAGAGAGAGAGAGAGAGAGAGAGAGAGAGAAAGAGATAAAGAGAAAGACAGAACACTTGCTAATGCTATTTAAGTCTCTGGTCCAAGCTCCTTGGCCAGATGTAATGTATTTAAGTCTCTGGTCCAGTCTCCTTGGCCAGGTCTAGATATCTTTTTTCATGCTTTAATTACACAAGCCACTAAATTCCCCTTTTCTAAAACTTAGCTTAAGCTAGCTTTAGTTAGAATACAGCTCTTTGCCTTTTGAAACCAAATAATTTTGATTCATCCAAGATGGCTTGATATATATATACATATTATGATACCGTTTATATCAGTACTTCTTGGGGCTGATTCAGAGGAGGGGACAGGAGATATGGGTAAGTTTTAAAACTTATTCAAAAAGGGAGATACCTGAACCAGTGTCAAAGGTCACTGAGGAATATCAGAAAGCAGACAAGGATAAGTTCTGAAAGACTAGAGACGGTAAAAAATTCTTAGTTCCAAGAGTGAAAGGTAGGTAAGTTCTATGAACTAGATCAGTGGACTACCATGAATTTCAGAATGTAGTATAAAAAATTTAGTTTGTATTACTGACAAAATAAATATTGATCCTTAGTACCAGCATGACATAGAGGAAGTCATACTATTGCCAGCAAGAGTTACAGCCTCCATAAATCTGGACTTCAGCATATCATGAGACAAGGTCTTTCTGCTATCCTTTGAACAGTCATTGGTAAGGTAAATTAGTAACTGTTTCTGAAGCATAATGATTATTAGATCAATTCGCTTGTAGGGAAGTTTCTGGTGGCCCTATCTTCTGTCTTGTTACATTTAAAAAACACACAAAAAAACCCAGCCTGAATAAAGACAGCAGTGAAAAGCTGACTGCATTTGAATGTAGCATGAAGCTAGGAGCAAATTGTTGGATGATAAAATCAAGATTTCAGACATCCTGAGAGGCTGAAATTCAGTCATGGAAATAAAATTAGTCTTACACTTAGCCTCTGCCTCCATACACACAGATAACAGAAACGTAAAAACAGTGTGAGTCAGGGTGGAAATGTGACTTAATTGCAGCACATGTGATTACAAATAGAGATTCTAGTAAACTATTATTTCAATAACAAAAAATAAAGCTAACTCAATTCTAGGCCATAGTGACGGGATAGTTCCCCAAAGAGGTAAAATTCTTGCTCTAACCAGCACAAGTGTGGCCAATTGCATTTAATTCTGGGTGCCATATTTTTAAATGCATGTTAAAAAGACCCTGTCTAGACAAGAGTAACTAGGATGCAATTATTTTTAAAAACTGAAGATGTTTAACCTAGAGTAGAAAAAAAGTTAGGCAATACATAATTTGTCTTCAAAGTCTGAAAAACTGTCATACAGAAAAGAGCTAGAGACTTATCAGTGTGGTAGGGCAAAATTAACATGCTTGACTATAGGTAGGTAATGAGGAAAGATTTATGTTATGATAAGGAAGGACTTCGTAATCATTTAAGCCAATCAGAACCAAAGAATGGGCTGTTTGGGGAGACCCTAAATTACCTAACCACTTGATAGGAGTATTCCCAAGGACTGTCATGTTTTTAGGGTAATGTTAAGTAAATCAATGCTTCTCAAACTTTGTTTGCATATGAACCACCAGGGACTCATTAAAAATGCAGATTTTGATTCAGGCGCTCTGGGGTGGGGACTGACAGACTGAATTTCTAACAAGCTCCAAAGTGATACCTAGCATGATGGTATGTGGACCACAGTCTGAGAAGCAAAGAACTAGACAGCTCATAAAGTCACTTTTTAATACTGAGAATCTCTTCTCATGGGAAAATAGACTTCAGGAACAGAGAAAGCAGTTATATACTGGGTTTCCCATGTGAAAATGGCAGTGCTTGAGAGCATAAAGGGAACAGGAGCATTGCCTGGAAACAGAAGCAGGGATACTCCAAAACTCACTCAGTAAATATGTATTTTAAAATAACCTGTTCTACAAAGCCAGAGGTGTCACACTCTCTGACTTTATACTACAAATCTACAGTAATCAAAACAGAATGGTACTGACAGAAAATCAGACAAACAGACCAATGAAACAGAATTGGGAGCCCAGGCATAAACTTACACATATACTAGCAACTCATGTTCAACAAAGGAGCCGAAAACATACAGTGGAGAAAGAAAAATCTCTTCAATAAACAGTATTGGGAAAACTGGAAAGCCACATGCAAAAGAACAAAACTAGACTGCTATCTGACACCATACACAAAAATAACTCAAAATGGATTGAAGACTAAGAAACCATCAACAAAACAAAAATGCAGCCAACTGAATGGGGGAAGATATTTGCAAACAATATCTCTGATAAAGGGCTAATAGCCAAAATATATAAAGAACTCATAAAGCTCAACAAGAAAAAAAAAAGCTGACTAGAAAATGGACAGCGGACCAAATGGATAGTTTTCTAAGGAAGACGTATAAATGACCAACAGATACAACTGAAAAAATGTTCAACATCACCAGCTATAAGGGAAATGCAAATCAAAACTATAACGAGATACCACTTCACCTGTTAGAAAGGCTATTATCAATAATACAAGAAATAATAAGTATTGGAAAGGATGTAGAGAAAAGGGAACCCTCACATACTGCTGGTGGAAATGTAAATAGGTACAGCTACTATGGAAAACAGTATGGGGGTTCCTCAGTAAATTAAGAATAGAGTTGCCATATGACCCAGCCATCCCTCTTCTGGGCACCTACCTGAAAAATTTGAAAACACTTATTTGTAAAGATATATGTACTCCTGTGTTCATTGCAGCATTATTTATAGTAGCCCAAACATGGAAACAACCCAAGCATCCTTGGATGGATGACTAGATAAAGCAGACATGGTACATATATACAATCGAATACTAATCAGCCATAAAAATGATGAAATGTTGCCATTTGTGACAACATGGATTGATCTTGAGAGTATTATGCTAAGTGAAATAAGTCAGATGGAAAAAAAACAAAAACTGTATGACTTCACTCATACGTGAGATATAAAACAAAAAGCAACAAATGAACAACCAAAACAAACAAAAATAACCTATTCGAAAGAAAGAAAAATTGTTAATAAATACCTGTATATGACTACATTTAATTATCCACTTTCATTAGAAATGACTGTTCATTTTCAATAATTATAATTAAAAGCACTCACTTCTTCAATTTTAATAATTCAATTATATATTAAATTCAAGACTGTCTAGTTCATTCAACAAAAATTCTTTATAATGTTACCCACCTCAGAGATTTTCAGTGTATAGACTTTGCTTTATGATTCTCTTACCTCCACTTCTACAGAAGAGCTTCCCAGCTGATGGAATTATAGATGTCCCTCAAGGTATTGATCTTCTGATCCTTTGGAAAGGTCAGGCAAGTTGCTTGATCCTGGGCTCCTGGGAAGAAGACTAATATTGTCAATCAGCCAATCACAATTAGTGATACCTGCCGTCATTGGTCTGGCCTCATGGCAGTGAGCTCAGCCAAGCTGAGTGAATGTCTGTCACCTTGAAATCTATTTCAGCAACTAGCATGGCCTTTTCCATCATGGAGAAGGATCTGTGGACCTGCTGGAGGAGTTCACGGTCTAAGTGCTTAACTAGCATAGCATGCCCACCAAAGCTAGGCCACGGGAAGATAAGAAAGTCAGCCATGTAACTTTACTTGGTGGCTCCAATATTAGTCTTTCCATACATTAAACATGTTTATCCATTTGTGCCAAAGTAGGTGCATGGTAATATCTCTAAAAAGTATGTGTATTTTTTTAAATTTAAATTTTTCATGCACATGGACAACAGTATGTATTTTTAAATTTAGAATTTCAATATAAGTTGTAATACTTGACATTCAAAATTTAGGTAGATTTTAAACCTATGGCCTTCTTTTATGACATTCCAATGGTAAATTTGGTAAGGAAATAAAAGGAAGAGTTGCTATATTTAAAATCAAATATTGCAAATGTTTTAATGGTTGTAAAAGTTATTTCAAAATATTTATTCTTTATTTGTGCAAATAAAATTTTTCATTTAGAGCAGCTATGAAGAACTTGAAAAGATTTGATTAAAATATTTTGATTAAGCCTGGCCGGGCGTGGCTCAGCGGTTGAGTGTCAACCTAGGATCCGGGCGATCAGGGTTAGATTCCCGGTCAGAACACATGCCCGGGTTGAGGGCTAGGCAGCCGATCAATGACTCTCTCATCATTGATATTTCTCCCTCTCTCTCTCCCTCTCCTTTCCTCTCTCTGAAATCAATAAAGACATATTTTTTTAAAAATATTTTGATTAAAAATGGTACATAGGTTTTCGAGCATAAAACTTGACTTGAGACAAAATGTTATGGATGGAAGCATATTCATATTTCTCAGTTTAAAATAATCTATATTCAATTTTAATATACTGCCCAAATATTATATTTTACTTTCTAACTAAAATTGTTTTATATAAAGAAAATGTAATGAGTCTCTTTACCAAGACCCTTATAGGTGTCTCCAAATTTCTTCCAGTTTACCCTAGCATTCCATATAAACATTATTATTTTCTATGTTGGGAAACACTGCTATAGGTAGATTTGCCTCTATAATATGTTCTGTTACCAAATTCTAGTTTAATTACAAACTAATCAATTACAGATTTGTCTTAATATATAGTTACTATTACCTAAAGGAAACAAGTAAGTCTGTTAAACCTAAGTTATGTCCTCACTTCTCCTATGCCTCTTGAAAATCTTGGAATATTTTTCTGAAGGGTTAGCAATGTTCTTTTTCTTGACCTGAATGGTTACACGGTGTTCACTTTGTAATAAGTTATTGAGCACATTGTTCTGTGCACTTTAGTGTATATACTTTATTTCACAGTAACAAAGGGTTTAAAGTTTTGTTTTCTAAGATTAAAGAGATATGGTGACCTGTAAATCTTTGAACATATTCTTACTTCCTGCTCATGCTCACCTTGCTCCTATTATTCTCCAAGAAAACTTCATCAATGATTAACTGTATCACTGGACAGTTGGGAGCAGTCATGAAAGACGTGACACTCACTGGATAACTCACAACAGAAATACAATCCTCTTCAGTTTCTGAATTATCCTGTTTTATATATAAATTAATCAAATGAAGCAAATGCTATTAAAACTAACTTTGCTCTTCTAATTCATGATATAAATCTAACACTAATGGACCTACAGGTTATTACTGTGATCCAGCAGGATAGGGCTAGTTAGTCCTAAATTTGCTAAAGTTAAGATGGATCCTACATTTATATGTGCACCCCCTAGACTCAGCAAACATTTATTTCTTCTACACCCCAGAAACTGTGGCAAATAATGCCCACTGGATAAAATTCAGACAATTACAGAATAAATTATTGATATATATTGTTTGGATGGGGGTAGTCCCTTCTTATTATGAGAAGTAGTTTACCCAGTTAAACCAAATGTTTATTCCAGGCTTGTGAGGTGCTCCATTTAAGACAAGTATTTCATTAATGAGACCTGGTCTCATTGCCAATACTGCCAAAGTGATTTTCTTGAACGGTAATAAGAAAGGGGCAAACTCTTCCTGCTCTAACCATACCTATCACTATTAAACATTTGCCATATATATATATATATTTTACATATATATATATTTTTTGCTATGCTAGCACATCACATCTGTCTACTGAAACACCCTAGAGAGCTTGCGGCCACAATTCAAGCTGAGAATGAAGGAAAAAGAAGACAGTTCACCCAGCCAGCAACACTCACGCGTGTGAATTTACAGAGCAAACAGAAGAGCTACCAACCTGAGACCATTCCACACCATCTCCTGTGAGAGTTACATTATTGTGATACACTTAACTGCATCTCTTGGCTCATTAACACTCGCATTTGTTTTTGTTAAGCTTTATGTTTAAAGAAATTATCAATGTAGCCCAAACTTCTGCAAACATGGAGGCGAATGAGTAATGAGCTCCACTCAGCCTCATTCTCCACCAAGTGTACTTTCATTTGCTTCCTGTAAAGGATATGTTTTGCCTCCTTTCTTCCCAATCTTATCCCTTTTCTTCTCTAAAATAGACTGCGCCCCCCGGAGGTTGGGAGTGTTTTTTGTGTGTGTGTTTTTTTAAAAAAGAAAGTGAAAAAACCTTTCACAGATGAGGCTTGATCCCCTGCAATTTTACTTTGGGGCTCAGTCCAACACGTCCCCGGGAGCTCCATGTCAGCAGTCAGGATCATGAGCCTCACCACACTTCTCCCTTCCGGTCAATTTCCTATTTTCTATTTAAAAGAGGAGAAAGGCACAGGACCAAAGAAAACCAGCTCGGTTCTGCCGGTTGCAGAAGGGCGGTAGTCCTGGGGCGCAGAAGGGCGGGCGGCCGGACCGCGCGCGGGGCGCTGTCCACGCCTCGGTGCTGAACACGGAACGCAGGGCTTTCCCGCCGGGCTCAGCCCCCTCTCGGAAGCGGCTGCGCCACCGCAGACTAGGCTCACTTCCCGGGGGCGAGGGATTCATTTAGACATTGTAACAATTCGCTTTCTACTGAAAAACATTCTTCCACAAGGAGACATTGTGCATTTTATGAGAAAGTAATAGCATAGTTTCAGTTCAACCCTGAAGGAAAAATGGAAAGTTACGAGTTAATGAAACCTGCCCTTTCTCTCCCGAGTCAACGTAAGAGCATGTGGGTCCCTAGACTCCCCTGGCTTGTGAATAAAGAAAATATTTTCTGTTAAAAAAAATCATGTGCTTAATCATTTTTCTAATAAGCATTGTAAAGTGAGTGATACTGGGCTCTGCAGTGTCCGGGATAGAATTTTAGATATAGTTTTACTGAGATTGAGAGGCGGAGGAAAGAAAAAAGTAAACTTGTTCATTAAGATGGTTTAAAATACAGTTTTTAAAAATACTGCTGTAACATTGTTTTCCAGGCGCGCTCATTTTCTTAGGCAATTTAGATCAGAATCTGGGGAGTAGAGAAGCTTTTCTCCTCCTGCCCTCCCAGCCTCTGTCCGATTTGAAAGATTTAAGAGCCCTGCTCTTTATAGGAGGTGCCGACTGACACCCCCACGGCCATCACAAGAATCCT